GAGGAGAAATTAGAGTTCTGTCAAGTGGCTTATGATATTTGGAGATTCATTAAATACAGTTGCTCCCATCCTACTTAGCAATGAAGGAGCTTACATCCTACCTAGCAGTTCAGGCAAGGGCTTAAGGACTAAAATGCAGAACACAGAGATGACCTCCTAGCACCACCACCACTCAGGAGCTGGGACTAATCCCTCAGCCACTCCCAGCTTACTTAATTATGTGTGAAAGGTAACAATAATTATTTGAACTGGCCCTACCTCAAAGGACTGTAAAAGAAAAAAAACTAGAGTGGAAAATACTGAATAAAAATGCAAAGATTTTATAGATGTAATATGAAAGGTTTAGTTCTACCTCCAGATAAAACAGTTTTAAAAAATGCTTCTTCTAAGATTACCATGAGAAATGAGCTATATTGTCTCTGGATCAAGAGCACATTTACCTGCTCTTTCCTGAACCACTAGAAAGCAAGCTACAAATTTTGTTAAGAGTTTATAATATGGGCAGAAGATAAAGCCAGGATTGAAGTTTTGGTGAAGATGTAACTTAAAAATATGTTTTATGAGTATGAAGTCTGTCAATTCCACCTTCCACAATCATGTGTTGGTGCACCCAGCTAAGCAGGTCTAAATGAAGAACAGTTTTCAATGACCAACTGAAGAATTTTTCCTTACATGCATTTTCTGTTAGGATAGTAACAGGGCCATATTTTATTTTGGATAGAACTCTATGCATGGAAAGAGAGAGGTCATTCATATTACCTGCAGGATGAAAGAAAGCTCATGTCTTATTCTAAGATAAATAAAGCTGGTGCTGTGCTGAACAGTTTTCTGTCTTAATCTGAGGGACAGCATTAAGTAATGTGAGGGTGACAGTGAGCAGGGAGAGGCTGAATGAGGAGTGAAAACCATCAAATGAAATGACCTAAAATTTATCGTCATCTGAATTTCAGTAAGAAGTGTTAAAGTACACTTGCAAACAAGTCCGATGCTTCTCGCTCTTTAAATTAGTATCTTGCATAAAATGACATGCTTAGTAAGATATATGGACCAATGCACATAAAAAAATCTTATTGTGCCTATATATCACCATAATAATGACCTCTAAAAGGCAAATCCCTGTGTCCTTGGGCATGAGTAAACTATTTTAAAAATATGTTCCATAAAATAAGGAAACAAATACATAATCCAATCAGCTTACTTAATATTTGAGATAATTGTAATATTTGCTCCGTTACTAGTTAATATCTAGGTAATGTGACTATTTTTTTGGCTTTAATTAAATGAAGTGATTCTATTTTCCTGTGGTGCAGATAAAGCCTATTTAATCTTCTTATTTCAATGTTAAAGACTTAAACTTCCAGCATTTCTGTTGATATGTTATGGAGTCTGATGAACTAGATTCACCAAAAAATCAAGTTTTTTGATAATCATGCATTTTTGATACTAAAAATGTTCAACATTAGCACATACACAAATCTGATAGGTTTTTCACGTTGTGGATTTTCATCATCTCTCCTGTTAATATATACTTTCTTGATTTGTCCTTTAATTTATCATCATTGTTCCTGGGAATTCCTCTTCCTAAGGTTCAAATTACTTCCTAATTATAAACAAAATGGTGTGAGTTACTAACCTTTCCTACTCACTGAAGATTCCAAGTACACACACACAATTCATAAATAGTTTTGTTGAGTACAAAATACTGTGCTAAGTCCTAGGGTCTCAGGAAACCCATGCCTTTGAGGCAAACAGTAATGGTATGGACTGGGGAGGAGGCATGGGAACAGACAACATGGGGTGTGAGGATGATGGTGTGGTCCAGCCCAGGAGAATCCCTGTCCCAGGGCAGGAGAAAGGCCTGATGTACAAGAGAAAATAGCTCAGGTTGGCCAACCTCAGTGGATCTGGTGTTCAGGGGCTGTTGGGAAAAGTTTTGCTGGAGAAATAAACAGGATCCAGTCATGAAAGCTCTTTATAAACCAAGTCAAAGAATTTGAATCTGTCCTAGAACACTGGGGAGAGCTGTGGCTTTGGTATCAGACACAACTGAGCACCTACCTCTGGGCCCCTCTTTTCACTGGTGCCTTGAGGCAACTGATTTACCTGCCCTGAGATACAGTTTCCTGAGGTACAAGAAAGGGTTCAGCATTCCTGGGAAAGCTAAGGAAGATAAGGGGAAAATAAAATTTTGAGCAGGCAATTGACATGAGCTTTACAATTTAAGAAAATCACTCTGGCAGTGCAATTCAAAATATGAGTCTATCTAACGCCACTCAGAACTGAATGAAGTTCTCAAACCAAGTACATTTTCATTAAATGGAGGTAGTATTACCATGCTATAAAAGACTCTCATTCAATTATGGCTACGCATCAAGCAAATCGAGCTCATTGATCCCTCTGGTATTTTGAATTATTTTCAAAATAAGACATAGCACATGCACATGAGAAATCTAGTACGTGTGGTAGAGATGGCAGAAAAATAAATGGATGATCACAACATTGGCAGACTGTTCTAGAGCTATGACCAGAGGTTCAAAGGAGCAAGGAAGAGAGCGGCCTGACTCCTCCTGGGAAAGGAAGGATGATAATTCCCTGGAGCATGTACAGGGTAGAGCAGGGGAAAGCAGCATACACACGTGGTGCATTCGGATAACAGAAGATTGTGCGTGATCAAACAGGATTGCTGGAGAGCCTGGAGGCTGCGCTGAGACCTCAGAACTAAGCTGAGCAAACCACAGACTGAGTGAGGTGGAGACCATGTCTGGACTTAATTTTATAGCTGGAAGGGAGCCTGAGGACATCTTTAAAGGGAAGGGTGACTGAATGTGACACTGGGAGAATTAACAGTGCAGAGATGGGTGGGGTTGATCTTTCTGACACCCCAAACCATAGTAAGGTTTTCCATGGTCAAAAATTTTATGACAGACTTAAAATTATATAACACATCAAGAAGCACATAAAAATAGATTTGTACAATTTTAAAATGTCATCATAGGAAAGAGATGTATTGACATTTCTGAAATTGCCCTGCCCTGCTCTTCCTGGCCCATCCAAAATAACGTGTTTGGTTGTAAATACAGACACTGTCATACAGTCTTTGTCATTATGTATGTTCTCGTAGTTTAAGTTGCTTACATTTAAAAACAAGCTCAGTTTGGTTCACTTTCACAGTAAATATAGAAGGTTGCCATGAAGCTGTGAACATAAACCACAACACTAAATTATAATACTGATGCACCAATATGGACTGCAGGTGATTACGGCTAAAGATAGTCAGTGGTTTGGAAGAAGAGCTGTTAGGAAAACAGAGGATTTATTTAAAGCCTTCAGAAGCCAGTTTTCTTTTCTGTCTTCATCCACTTGGTTTGGAAATAGCTTGGCAGTGCCATAATTTTCACTTCTTGTCACAAACACAACCTTTAATTTGACATTGCCTCCTCACCCCTTCCTTGGCTTCACATTTTCCAGGCATTTCCTGCCAAGCTACGTTTACTCACTTTCTTCATGGAAAATCACAGCCAGCCATGTCTCAAGTTCACTTGTAGTTAGGCCCTGTAGGGATCACAGCAGGTCTTTTGAGCAACTTTCTCTTTGCACAGTGTTAGGGTAACTCGGAGACTCTGGAGTTCTGACATCCAGCCCTGGGCACAATGTTACTCATGTAATAAATCAAACTGATAGGTAAGTACCAACTGTTCCTCACTCAGGTGTGATAGGAACTACATAACACTTAGAAAAAAAAAATGTTCCCACCACCTATTGGTTTCACCAACATGTATTTAGAAATTGCCCTTGAAGACTAAATATTTTTTAAAAATTGTTCTGTAACATAGTGGAGCTAAATAGTTGAGAGGATCTAAGTTCCTTCTTAGTGGTAGATGGTACGTTTGGACAGGTGAAGCAATGATGACCTCAGCTTCAAGTCAAGAGCCTGGCAAAAGTGAATGTGCTCTGCTAAGCCTCTAATTTACTGTAGAGATCGTGAACTCGGGGCTGAGGAGGACTATAACTCTTTATCAGTGAGGAATTTATGATAGTGCTACTTTACAAACTGATACATTCCAGACTAGGGTTGGAATCTGGTAGGCGCTGAACCGTTGGGAGTCTGCTCCTGCTGGTGAGCTTTGGCTTAGCTGCATGAGCTTCAGGAAAAGGCCAACTCGGGGTTTAGTCTCCCTGCCAGGCGCTCCCACTGAAAAGGGGTTCTCCAGTGCCTGAGGTCCTTGTAGCACTGCACCCAGGGACCAGCCAGGAGTGAGATGCCAGGAGGCCTGGGCCTGCCACAGAGCAGAGGAGTCCGCTGGAACTGTGTGGTCTTCCCAGGAAGTTTGGGGCCACAGATGCTCACTCCTGGATGACCCTCCACAACTTCAACTTTGATCTATGAAGGAGAAGGGACTTTTGGACTATTAAAGTCTCTTCTAAGGATTAAACTGGTCATGAAACCAAAAATTTTGGTTTCTAGGAAAACAGCAATGCTTATTGAATATGCAGAAATAACATCCAAGTAGCGTAGGGCTGCTATCATTCTCTTATTTGTTTTTGGTCTATTAGTGATGCAAACTGCTTGGTAGCCTTTCCTCAGCCATGGTGGGATTTGGGGGCAGGGTTCGCATCACTTTGCCCACTCACCCTCTCACCCGCTCGCCCTCTTGGAGTGGTGACAGCACAGCCGAGGGGCCGGCTGACCAAAACCCCAGCTCTTCTCATCTCTGCTGCACCACTTGGGCAACGTCCTTCATCTTTTTGTATCTTGGTTTCTTCATGTATAAAATAGAAGTAATCAAGGGCTCTCTTCAATAGGATATTATATGAAACAAGGCTTATATAAGTAAAGTGTTTTGAATAATTCCCAGTGGACTGTGGATACTGTAGAAAGATTTACTATTACTGCAATAATTGTTATTATTATTATTATTATTATTATTATTATTACCAGTCGATAAAAGCTTCCAAGGGAAGGGATCTTTTTCAGTGTGGTGTGTGTATTTCTTTAACAGGTCAGTGTTCATCCATGCCTCATATACTTGATCTGCATTCCCAGGCCCTCATCCTTGCCTTCCTGCCAATCGCAGACCAGAGATAAAAGCACTGTTGCAGCTGGTGAAGATCCGCTCTGCTGTGTATGTACATCACACACATGCACAAAGTCTTAGTTCAGGTTGCTGTAACACAAATACTGTGACTGAACGGCTTGAATAACAGAGATTGATTCCTTATGGTCTAAAGGCTGGAAAAGTCCAGGATCAAGGTGTTAGCATGTCCAGTTTCTGGTGAGACCTCTCTTTCTGGTTTGTAAAGGGATGCATTCTTGCTGTGTCCTCACATGGTGGAGAGAAAGATCATATCTCTCATGTATCTTTTTGATTGGACCTGCACCCAAATCTCACTATAGCTGAATAAAAACACTAATTCCACTGATGGGGGCTCCACCCTCATCATCTAATGCCATCAGATTGGNTCCCTTTTTCCCTAAACAATATAAACTCTCTTATTATTTCAGTAGATACAGAACCACCTCATTCTTTTCAACTCCTTTAGCTTAAAATAACCAAAATTTATTTTTGGGCAGTCCTTTGTTGATCAGCATTTAGATTCGTTCTGTAATTCTTATTTTTAAAAACAATGTTGTAATGAACAGACTTATGTGTACGATTCTACACAGCTGTGTGAGTAAATCTTAGAATGAAATCCTACAAGTAGAGAAATTGCCAGAGTAGAGGCACTTAAAATATTGACAAATACTGACAAACTGTCCTCTAAAAATTACCTTCTTGCTACATTACTTATAATAATATAAGTATTATTTTTATTTAAAAAATAAACTCTTGTGTCACACTGTGTTCCTGGCACTGATCGAGGACCATTTAAATATTGATACATTTCATTCTCATAAAGAAATAAGATGTAACATTACCACTCTCTCCAAATACTAATAAGGAGACTAAGGCACAGAGTGGTTTAATTAGTTGCCCAGGTTACACAGCTAAAAGTAAAAGAACAGAGTTTGAAACCTGAGGCACCAAGGCCCATGTTCTTCTTGTTGTACCACACACACACACAGAGCTGTGGGCCTCGCCTGATGTGGGAGCATCAGTCCCATTTATTCTTGTCCATTTGTTTATTGGCTATCTATATTTTTTCCCATTGTTCCTTACAGTTAGATTTTTTTTCATATTGACCCATAAGATATCCTTTATAATAAAATTAGCCTAGCCCTCCATCACATGTGAGGCAATTGTTTTTCTCTGTTTAGTATTTTTTTTTCTGACTTTATTCTCAGTGTTTTTTTATTCATCTAAATATTTTTGATTTTTTTGTATTGAATTTGCCTAGCTTTTTCCTGTGGCTTCTAGATTTCATGCCATGCTTAAGAATTCTATGTTTTTAATGTTATGAAGTATACAAATATATTCACATCCCCTAAGATTGCCATGATTTTTTAAAATATTCACATCTTCACTCCATCTGGAATTTATCATGTTATGAGCTATAAATAGCTCAGCTTCATTTTGTTCTGCATGAGTACATAGCTGATCTATAGTTTATCTGCTGAACTGCATGCAGCTTCAATGTTATATGTACTCATACATTCCTGGGTTTATTTCCAGCCTTGTTTTGGTCCAGTTGGCCAGCACATAATATTTCTACATGCCTATTTCTACACCAGTACTATATTTAATTATCATGTCTTTATAATGTGCCTCTATTATTTGTTTGGGCTGTTATCCTGTTATTCTTCTTTTACAGATCTCTTTGGCTATTTTGACATGTTAATTCTTTTGTTGTGTTTACCTTTTAATGGCATAATTGTACCCAATAGAGTTAGTACTGCCTTAAGGAAAGTTGACAGATAAGAAAGGTAGTGAAGAAGGAACAAAACAGCAGCAGACTCACAGACTCCAAGAAGGGATTAGCAGTTATCAAAGGGGAGGGGTGGGGGAAGATAGGTGGGGAGGAAGGGAGAAGGGGACTGAGGGGTATTATGATTGACACAAATGGTGTGGGGGGGTCATGAGGAAGACAGTGTAGCACAGAGAAGGCAAGTAGTGACTGTGGCATCTTTCTACACTGATAGACAGTGACTGCAATGGTGTGGGGGGGCTTGATAATAAGGGAGACTGTAGTAACCACATTGTTTTTCATGTGAAACCTTCATAAGAGTGTATATCATTAATACCTTAATAAAAAATTGTAATAAAAGAAAACACATGAACCAAAAAAGAAAGAAAGGCAGTGAAGTCAACCTTTGAGAGGAGAAGGAAAGTGACTGGGAGCAGAGAAGAGGCTGCTAGACACCACAGAATGAATCTGAACCAGAGAGAAGGAAGAGTGGGGTATTGCAAGGGTCTCAGCCAAGACTAGACTAAATGACATGTAGTGCACCTAAGCACATAGTAGATGGTAACTAATCAGAAATACAAACTTTAAGAGCTGGATGGCACATTAGATATAATCTGGTCTAATTTACTCATTTTACAGTTGTAGAAATAAGGCTCAGAGTGGTTAGGACATGTGCAAGTTTACACAGTTAATTAGTAGTAAAGTCGGGATTAAACCCTGATTCTCATCCCGGACAGAGGTTAGTTGTGATCTGATGATAGAGTATGAGAGTAAGAAAATGTAACCTGGCTACTTTTGTATGATGGACTGAAATAGAGCCCTGGGGTCAGGAGTGGACAGGAGGGCAGGCACACCAGCCCCAGAGACCAGCCCTGCGGGCAGTCAGCAGGGAGTCAATGGCATTGTGTGCATTTCCTGCCAAATACCATCAGACTCGGAAGATCTCAACAAATATTTTTATTTGTATACATATAAATTTTATCCTGTACTAAGAACCTGCCATAAGTGAATAATGTTTGCCAAATAGCTCGTGAAAATACAACATGTCCTAATGACAGAATCTTTCAGTAGAAAGCAGTGATTATCTCAATAGGCAAGAAGAGTTTCAAAGAGATATGTTGGACCCTCAAGGCAGGCAGGGACCGACCGAGGCAGCACATTCGAGAATCCTTCTGCCACAGACACCTTTATATCATTTGTCCAGAAAGGTGATACTTCTTTTAGCACCAGCTGCAAGGAGATCTTTGATGGAAAAAGCTAAAATTCACATTTTCTCAGGAAACCAGGCTGAGTAAAGAAGTGAAATATTCCTGATGACTGCGGCAAAAAGATTGAAGAAGAGCAGAAAAGCTTCCTCAAATGCATATTTACCTTGGAGCTGGGGCTAGATTCTTGAAAAATTTCACTCAGTTCAGTTCTTCAGCTTATATTCTTTTATAAAGAAATTCAGCGTGGAACTCCCGTTGCCTCATAGCAGAGAATAAGCAGTTACAGCCTGGCTTTGACGGATGGCCACTTCCTTCATAGTTTGTTTTTAATCATTCTTCAACCCAGTATGCATCTTGCAAAACCAACCTATGTACTGTGTCACCGGTGTCTGTTTCAAGGGAAGAACTGCTTTGTTCATGTTAAGTGAGGAACAGGCATAGAAATTTAAACTGCTCGTATTTGAGTCCATAAAGCAAAACAAGAATCTTTGGAAAATGGGCAGTGTCTAGCAAAGTTTTTGCTATGTCAGAGACTCAGTCTGTTCAATATTTATTCAGAGCTTACACTGTGATTAAAAGAACTCAAACTGATAAAAGTTCAACTGTACGTAGAATTAAAACCAAGTAGAAATTAGATCACACATCTATATAATCCTTACACCTTTTAATTCATTTTCTGATACAATGTTAAGAGTTTTTAATGTGCAATTTAGTAATAAAAGAAGTATCACCTTGCTGGGTAAATGATATAAGGGTTCTCCAATGCTGCCTCGGTCCCTGCCTGCCTTGAGGGTCCAACACATCTCTTTGAAACTCTTCTTGCCCACTGAGATAATCACTGTTTTCCACCTGAGGGATTCTGTCATTAGAACATGCTGTATTTTCACAAGCTATTTGACAAACATTATTCACTTATGGCAGGTTTTTAACACAGGATAAAATTTTATATATACAAATGTTTTTGTTGCTTTCATATGAAATCTCAAAGTCAAATAAGAAAGTTGATTGGATTGAATTCAGTTAATCTTGTTCAAATAATTGTATTACAAGATGCCATTTCATTTTGGGCTATGTCTAACCTCAGTACAGATCAAAATCTGCAAAAACATGTGAAATAGGGGAAATCCAACCAAGGGGAAAATGGAATTTATGGCCCCCATATGAAGGTATTTCCACATACTATCCCAGGTGCTCCTTACATAGCCTGTGAGGTCCCATTTTGCAGATGAGAAAACAAATTTAGAAGACTGAACTCTCTTGTCCAAGTCTACCCCATGGCTCAAAGGCAGACCTGTGATTTGAATTCCTATTTGACTCACTCCAAATTCTGTGCTCTCTGTTTTTCCTAAGTGTATTTAATTGTCAAATATGCAAATGTTGTATGTCTGTTTTGCCAACACTCTCCCCTTCCTTTGAAATGACTAATATAGCTTTGCCCTCACTGAAATGTTACGGAAAAAAAGGGGTTTTCTCCTGTTAAGTCAAAGATACTTAGTTTTCATGGTCCTTCTAGAAGTTCAAAGGTTTATAAATTCAATGTCATTACTAGTAAGGAGCCTCTTTAAGTTTACATGAGCACAAATAAGTTCTTCTTAGAGAAACCAAAGTAATAGATCATATTAAAATTCTCTACACTAATTCTTCAGTATATGGGAAGTTTAATTTAATACTGAAACAGTCTTTCATTAATAATCTTCTGTGCTCCAAGGAGTTACTGGGGATGGGCAAAGGGTAGGTGGGGATGAAAGATACAGCAACAAGAAAAAGCTATAAAATTTGTATTACTCTTAGGCAAAATTCATTTTTTCTTAGGAGACATTCAATCCTACCCTAAAGTTTGAAAGCATGCAGACAGCTTCTCTTGCTCTGTGAATTTCATAAAGAAAGTATCTGATTAAAAAGAAAGTCACCAAATCGATAGAGACAAAAAGTAGAATGGTGGTCACTATGGACTGGAGACAGGATGAAGGAAATGGGGAGTTGGTGTTTAATAGGCACAGCATTTCAATTTGGGGAGATGAAAATGTTCTGGAGATAAATGGTGGTGATGGTCGCCCAAACAATGTGAACGTGTTCAGTGCTACCAGGAAACCACTCAGAGAGGCAGAAAATAGAGCTACTGGGACCATGGACTTGAAGCCAGAACATCTGGGTTCCAACTGCACACCCTCTAGCTACAAACTGTGGGATCTTACATGGGACCCTTTTTGGGCCTCATTTTGCTCATCTGCACACAGTCCAGTCGCAGCCGCTGCCTTGGAAGGCTGTTTAGAGTTTTAAATGAGTTAATATTTCTTAAGTGCTTGGAGGAGTGCCAGGCACATAGTCAGGGCTTCTGGAGTGTTTGCTAAAAAATAACTCTACATCCCTTCCAACTTTTCCCAACCCTCTTTTTCCTCTTCTTTCTTCTCCTGTGCTATGTCCAGTGCACTTTTTCTCTTGACTTCCCTATTGTATCATTTTAAATCAGAATCTCAAACACCACTCTCTTATTTTCCCATTTTATTATTTTCAGCATCCACTTTGTCTCCCAAGTCTGACTTCTAAAGCAATCCTTTAATTCATAATTCTCTCACCAAGGCTTCAGCTCTAGCAAAGGCCCTCCATCTGTTTATTGCCATAACCTGCCTCCAGGCCCTTTCCTCAACTCATCGTCCCCCACTGCTGCAGTAATTACATTTCTTAAATAATAGTATTTACAACTATTTGGCTGACACAACTTGGCAATCCACACTATGAAGTGTGAATTGTCTTTCAGATGCAGAGGGATGTCATTAAATGACTTAGCAAGAAGTTACATGATCTGAAGTATGTTAAAAAAAATTAACTCCAGGTGCTGCATGGAGAATAGATTTAAGGGGGCCAAGAGGAGACATAGAGCAGTTTAAAGCCTCTGCAGTGACTAAATGAGAGATGGCAACAGTAGAGATGGAGAGAAGCAGATTAGACACAAAATTTCAAAGTGAAATAATAAAGCAGGGACAAAGTAGTACCAATAAATGTTTTATGACTGATTTATTAAAGAAGGCATCTGACCTGTGAAATTTTGTGTCCCTGGACACAGGAAGTGGTAGTTACAATAGTTAATTTTCATGTCCATCCATTATGTCAAATATACACCTTAAATTACCATAGTTAACTCATTTCTTCATTATCTCCTCTTTACCTGCAGCATTTATGAGACAAGCATGCTCCAAAGGATGCTGGAAAAAGCCAAGCCAGGTTACATTTCAGAGAAAAGTCATTGCAAAGATACAGTGCATGCTGGGATCTGGAAATACCCCTGCAGAAATCCACTTGAAAAACCTGCACTACTCTTGCTTCTTTGCCCCGGACTGTAAGAGATTTCTGCACACAGGGTGTCAGATGATTGGACAGAAGAATGTCTGTCATTGTCCTTGGTGAGCAGAAAGGCCATTTGTTCTTTCCTTAGCTGACCAATGCTTTAGAACTCACCAGAGAGAACTGTGTCTCAACCAGCATCCCTCTTCACTGAGGACTTCGGGATCCTCTATACTGGCACCAGCCTTTTCACATGCAGTCTTTTGCATATGCAGTTACTCTGGAGACTTGGCTTGTCCAACTACCTGTTCAACCCCTTGTCTCTTGAGAGTTCACATAAAGTGAATGAGCAACCCCATCTCTGCTATGTTCAAGTATCAATATTTTTCTCAAAGTCCCCTGATGGTGATAAAGGACATTGTTTTCAACATATCATGGTTTTCTCCCCCTACTGATTTCTTCTACAATTTCCCCATTCCATTTCATTGTGAACTGCCACAATTCCTATCCCAGTTTGTCTGTCTTGGCCACCATGTTCCATGAGCATGGGGGTGTAAACTGGTGATGCCTCAGGATTTTATTTTTGACAATTCACTTAGAAATGATTTGTTTTTATTCAGTCAATGCTGATGTAGTAAGCGCCTCTGCTATAAGAGTCACTATGGAATTCAGTTTTTTTAGGCCACACTTTCTCCTCTGTAGGAGTATGGAGTCTATTATTGTGAGAAGACCACAATAAAAAGATCATTCCAGGGTGCTCCATGCTCCCTCCTGGAGCCTGCAGTGAAGGGACATCTGTGGTGGAGGGGGGCGCAGCTTGAAGAACTGGGGCATGTATAGAGCTACAGAGAGGAAATGAAAGTGAGACATAATGGGCATGGAAGAACACGAACCAACCCACATGGTTTACCAAGTCCACTGGGCCTAGTAAAAGGCATATTTCCTGACTTAGTTATGCATTTTATGATCAGGTTTTATGGCCTAGCCCCTGAAAGGACTTGAGTATAGAGACTTGACAGTCAGGGCAGTCACTCAGATGAGAGCACTTGCCTCCCCACTAGTCCTGCTGCTTATATAAACCTTTCATCAGAAATTTTCATCAATTCCCATTCTCCTTAAGGCTCCATAGACAGACAAAACAATGCAGCCAAGATGACGTCATGACTCCTAAGGCGCTATGCCAAAAAAACTTCTCTGAGCCCTGTTGTCCAAAGAACACAGTTTGGCATTTTAATGGTGGCCCTTCTCCACTGTGTGTGTCTGCAGGAGGCAGTCACCAACACCACACAGCACGGAGGATGGTGCTGGTTTGCATTCATGTGCTCCGTTTATTACAGGCAAGATGGACCCAGAGATGGAGGTGAAACAAGATGGAGGTAAGTGTCAAACAGCAAGGACACCACCAAAACTCTGTCATTCTTGAAGTTACACATCAACTTGGGAAAATGTTCTTTTCCTTTGTCTTAAGTCCTTGAGGAAATATTATATACTTCCATTCTTCTTGAAGCATTTAAGAACTGGCCTTTCATACTCATGTTTATGTTGACCTGCAACAGCAGAGTAGGCCACTCAAACTTTTTAACCCCCCAAACAAGACCCAGGTCTCTCCTATTCATTCAGTAAAGCACTGCAGTTTATGCCTATACCCGTACCATGGTGACCAGTCGTGATGGAAGTTCAATAGGTGATTCCAAGGTAGTTCTTAACAATCCCTTCACAACAAGGAATACCCACATTTGATGCATTCCTTGATCTTATCTCACTGCCCGACTACTGTTCCATTCCCCAAGTAAGTTGCCTCTTTTTCTCACAAGGGTAACCCCTGAAAAGTTACCTTAAAGTTAATTTTGCATTTAGTTTATTAGTCTATATGAGGTAGAAAGAGTAGGGTTTGCTCTTTAGACAAAGTGTAAGTACTAAGCTCCATTTCTCCAGCCCTACAACCTCTTTCATACATTCCACAGCTCAGATGTTTAGTGAGTATGTGTTCAACGAATAAGTTAATCAATGCCTACAACAAGAAGAAGGTATACTTCACACCTTGCTAAATATCCTTAAAGTTCTAGAGAAGAGATCGGAGTTTAATTTCATGACTCCCTTAGACATTGTCTTCTATTCATTTTCATGTAATTATACTTATAAATCACTAATGTAGTTTTGCAGTTCCTCTCTCAAGAATAGTGCCTGATATTTAAATTTTAAGTAAATGTTTATTGAATGAATGAGTAGATGAAATAACTAGGGAGTGCCTGGCTGTGTGACTTTGCCTAAGATTTAAATAATCTAAGGTAAATGACAATTTTTCAGAGAGGATCTTTTTTAGAGTCTAAACATCATTTGTGTGGCCATAAGAATAAATGCACAATTTTGAGACCATCATACTAAAAGATTAACACACCAAAGTGATCACTTCTATTTAATAAAGGCAAATGAGAAACCATTTGTCATTTATTATGATTGAAAATTTTAAGTAAGTAATGATTTTTGCATAGTTTTATAAAACTGCCCTTAATTATCTAGGGATTGATTGTCTTATTCCTTTTTCCAGTTATTTAACTAAATTTTGTCACCTTGGCCAAATCACTGGCATCTGTGGATCTTAGTTTCCTTATCCGTCAATGGACAAAGTAACTCTTCATCAGAGCAGACCCCTTGGGGCAGCTTCAGCTACTCCATAGCTAAAGAGAAATGTGTTTTGATTTCAAGATATTCAGAGAAAATTGCATTTTATCGGTCAAACTTTCAATGCTAACCATTTAATATCTTTCTTTTCTTTTCTTCCCTCAAACTCTCTTAGAATTGGCAGAAAAACTCTTGATAATTCAATTGTTTTCACAGTAGTTCAAGTGGGCAGGAAATTGGTCCTGGGGAGGACTAATTCTCAGTCTTCATTGATGGGGTGAGGGCCTTTGTCACTTTAATGCACTCTGCAGTGACTTTCAGGGGTCAAAAAGACCACAAATCTTTTGCAGAAATGGCCACATCTGTGTTTTTGAAATGCAGTGGGTTTTTTATTTCATTAAAAAATATAACCAAAAAATTTAGCCAATTTTATATATTTTTGTATTTAAAATATGATTTGCAAGCATTAGGAATAAAGGTATAAGTTAGCAGGGTTTTCTATCTTTTGTCTATATAGTTTAAACTATACATGGTTTTCTCCCCAAAAGTTTAGATCTATGATTATGGTTGAATACTACTCAGTTCAAAATTATCACCTGTGATGTTATGATGTACATTTGTTGATGCGTCCATCTCTCCAGTAGACTCTGAATGTCTCAAGGACAAGGCCATGTGGTGAGATTCTTCACTTTATCCCCTGAAACTACCTGACATGTTAGGGAGCTCAAGCTCACAGCACTCATCACATGACATGCCATTAAGTCGAGAGACTAGATGTTGGGACAAAAGAAGTGATTTTATTTGGAAAGCCAGCAGACTGACAAGATGGTGGATCCATGCCCTAAAACACCACCTTAACTCAGGGTCGATTGCAAACTCCTTTTATACTAGGGGAAGAGGAAGCAAGAAGGGGAGCAGGTTAGGGGTGACTGAAGGCTACAGACATGGGCACCAGCGAGGGTCCAAGGAGAGCTGAGAAGCTCCATGCCCTTGGTCAGTTGACCCTCACCGACATAGCTCTGATTATGGCATTCCTAAAATTCTTTAACAAGGCAATCATTATTTTCATATGTATTTCCCTACCTCCTGGAGAAGGCAAGCTGGAGAAGCAGCTATTTGCAGACATGTCAAACTATAAGCAAAATTCTTTGATGACCAACAAGCCTGTGTGCAGGGCTACAGGCTGAGCAGGAGCCCTTTGCCTTTCTTTTTCCTTTTGGCTTAAAGGTTAAGGCAGCAAAGGAGACAGATACAGTATGCAGGCAGAGAAGCCAACTTTTGAACTCAGCTACAGAGCAGGAATCCAGTAGATATTTGTTAAAAAGAAAACAAAGTAACAAAATTCAGCAGCAAAAACAAAACTGGGGGCTTCGCAGAAGTCTTCACAGTAATATTTGAAGTGGAATAAGTAAGAAAATAAGACATCAATTTGCATAAAGTTCAGGAAATAAATTTGTAAAAATAGTCTTTGACTTAAGGGTTTAAAACATCCAAATTAACTGGAGAACTTCTTACCACCACAGAAGGCTACTTCTCACACCAGCTTGTGATGGCCTCTCTTACCAAGGCAGTTGTGTTTGTGGTTGTAAAGATGCCACTCTTGACCAGAAATCATGGTTACTCCCAAATCTGTTCCATTTACAGCAATTTACCCATTCTACAAGGAGCTAACCAATTAATATAGATGCATAAAGTACTAAAGGGATCACAGTTCTACTTACACCTTCAGGTGAGCTGTACATTGGATTAGCCATATAGACAGACAGAAAAGTAGCTTTATTGGTAATCTGTGGAGGCATTTTATTTATTAATGGGCTTTCCTGTGCATTATTCATTTGGAGAGCTTGGCAGGTAAGCTCAGCAGGCATCACAGAGCCAGCCCCGCCCCAGTGAGAGTCTGGCCGGCGTGTGAGGCAGCGTGATCCCCTTCTGGTCCCATAGCTGGTGTGGTGGCCTGCTGTTTTGTCGCATTGGCAGCTTAGGGAGATGCAGCCTCTTACGTGGGAGCATCACAGTCAAGCTGGCAGATAGAAAAAGCTTCTGATCACACTGAGAAGGGGCTGGAGCATGAAAACTGTCACCTTGACCAAATGACAACTTCTGTTCAGAGTGATGCAATTTGTAACTCTTTTTCTGGAGTAATTATTTAATGACATCCCCTCTTTATGCCAAAGAAAGTTCCAATTTGCATGATCAGTTAGACGGGCTCTAACGACAGGGCCAGATTTTTCTATCTGAGACATCTTTTAGGCTGCCTCTGAAATTTACAGACTTAGGAGACCCACCTGCCCAAGGTAGGCTCCAAAAATATATAATTCCCATTTCCCATGCAGGTACATAACCTGGGTTGGGCCAATCAGAGTTCCTTCCTGAGATTTCCATTTTGAAGTGACCATTCTGATGAAAGTGGCTCCCCGAGGAACCCTTCTGCAGCTGGAGCGCCAGCTTTCAGCGGGCAGGGGTGAAGAGTTGCCTTGGGGATGGTGGTGACAGTAGCCGCTGTGGGAACCACTAGAGCACTGCTGTGGTAGCGTTTCCTCACTGGGCTGGTTCTGCAAGAATGTGTAGACATGTTCTCAGTAGTGTCCTCAGAGATATTCTTCAGTCTTCCCCATTAATTCTGTGTGTTAGTATCTTTGAATAAACTGCTATGTATTATGCTTAGTTAGCCCATCAGGTTCTGCTGCTTATACTTAAGGCACTTGACTGACAAATGGGCAAACATGACAATTTGAATTCATAGGATATCTCAACAGAATATTTACTGTAACTGCAAGACCCATATGC